ATGTAGTATGTTTCCCTAAATAGGACCAAGTATATTGTATCCCCTTTATGACACATTCATTCCTTTTATGGCACATAATTTCTTATGATCAGTCATGTATGCCCTCATTACTAACAAGTGTTGGATACTGACTGATTATTTCAATGACTATTTAAATTATTTTTAATAATGTCATGTTCTAGTTGAATTATGTAATAGGCTATTTTTCTCAAAGGCAAGACATTTTAGAACTTTCCATTGTCAAACGTTAGAGTAGATAAGACAGATCCTGCTTAGGAAAAAGTAATATGTTTAAGTCCTATTTTACCAACACTTTTAAAATAAATTTTGACTTATACCGAGTATATTTATATGTTGTCAAGGAAATAACTCGATTAAAAATTCAAGTTTATGATTATTAGTTAAAGACCTTATAGTCTCTTGAGTTGTATTTGAATTACCTTTAATTATAGATATTTGTTTACTCGTCTTATTCTCAATAAGAGAATTATCAATAGACTAGCAAATTCTTTTACGGTCCTAAAGTCCCTACTCATATTATGAACCTTATTATATAAAGGGTGATTTACCTAAATATGACTAAAACATACTCCCTCCGTCCTAAAATTAACTTCCCATTTGACTTTTCACGGTCTCCAATGCGACACTTTGACCATCAATATCTTAATTTTTATATAAATATATTTTATAAAAATTATATATTTCAAAACTATGTTTCAAAATAAATCTATTGCTAACAAATTTATATGAAAATTCAATGTATTTTTTTCGTAATATGTGGTCAAAGTTTAAAAAGTTTGACTACAAAAGTCAAAATGAGAAGTTAATTTTAGGACGGAGGGAGTAATAATTTTCTCAAAATAGGACTTTATGTTTTTAAAATGAGTGTTAGACAATGAAACTAATATTACTTCTGGTAGTATTGATTATGGTAGTGTTTCATTATTAGTCATCTTCCTAATCCTATTTGTAATAGATAGATGTTGTATGTTAGTTAGTTTCCATTCTCTATTCTTAGTTGTGTTAGGATTCTCTCATATATATACTCTATCATGTATTCCATAATTAAAGGAGCAATATTATTATTCCAATATTTCGACATGGTATCAGAGTCACCGCTCTTGGTGACCTAAAAGAGTTCTTTGCTCCCACCGCCGCCGCCGGTAATTCCGGCGACGGCGGCTCCACCCTATTCACCTTTATTTTCTTTTCCTTCTTTTATCGTCAAATCAACGTCTCCATTCAAACGATAAAAAAGGAAAACAGCCTTGTTGAAATCATACAAAAAAATCATCAAAGGCAGAACTTCTATCTTGTCATCTCCATGGTTCTTCAAAAAAAACTCAACTCCTCACAAACTCTCTCAACTAATCCTATCTTCTCAAAAAAGGAAAAAAAATGATAGTTGCTCTCCAATTCACCATATCAAAATCTCAAACCCCAAATCTTTTTTCCTTCACCAATTCTTAATCCACTTTTTTTTCTCTCAAATCACTCATTATAATCATCAATCTTTCTTCTCTTTTTCTTTTGTTACCCAAAATATTCCAAAAAAAACAACACAAAAGCAAAGCCAAGAGAGGAAGTAGTGAAAGAGAAAGAATACCTCTACAACCCTTCAAGAAAGAAATAGGGCATTGCCCGGATCCAAAAAAAAGACAAAGAATGTCAAGGATCTTCAGTCAAACAGGCACCTCCAGTAGCCTTCTCTATTCTTCTTCGACGTCAGCAGCTATAAGCGCACGTCAACCTTCTCTCCTCTTCTTTGACGCCAGCAGCTACCAACCCACGTCAATCTTCTTTCTTCGTCATCGACGTCAGCAGCTACCAACGCACGTCAATTTCTCTCTTCTCCAACGACGTTAGCAGCTACCAGTGCACGTCATACTTCTCTCTTCTCCAACGATGTCAGCAGCCACCGGCGCACGTCAGACTTGTCTCTTCTCCAACGACGTGAGCAGCCACCGGCACATGTCAAACTTCTCTCTTCTTAAAGTTTCCAGTTTCCAGCTAGTGTCCAAGCTTTGTCTTGCTTCAGCCAGAGTTCAACTTGAGGGGGGATGTTAGATAATAAAACTAATACTCCCTCCGTTCCACAAAACCCTTCCTCTTTCGTTTTTTTTGAATTCCCTAAAACACTTCCACTTTCTATTAAAAAACCACTTTTACCCTTACTTTTTCATACCCTACATATCACATCATACTTTTTCTCTAATAACCAAACTATCACATCTTACTTTTACACATCACATCAGGGGCAAAATTGGAAAGTCAACCAAAATTACACTTTCCTTATTTTTACCCAAAGTCAAAAGTGGAAGAGTTTAAAGGAAGGGAGGGAGTATTAATTCTGGTAGTATTGGTTATGGTAGTGTTTCATTATTAGTCAGTTTCCTAATCCTATTTGTATTAGATGTTGTATGTTGGTTAGTTTCCATTATCTATTCCTAGTTGTGTTAGGAATCTCTCCTATATATACTCTATCATGTATTCCATAATTAAAGGAGCAGTATTATTATTCCAATATTTCAACAATGAGGTGGACAATTTTACTTAATTATCATAACTATTAGTACACATGGCATCCATTAACAAGAGGGGCATGGATGCCCTCTCGTTTCACGGGGCACGGAAGAAATTCCCAAAAAATATATATCGACAAAATTTGGTACCATACCGTCATACAGATCGGAGAAAGTTATTACTACGTATTAATTATAATGCTTGACCAATCCACGTTTAATTTAATTAAACTATATTTTGCTCATTACGGCTCGCTCATACATTTAACAATGCAACATAGGATATAATTTGGCCAAATAATAATAATAATAATAATAATAATAATAATAATAATAATAATAATTGATCGAAGATAGACAGATATGAATAACTGAAATCTTCGTCATCAGACGGTGGTGATGGCGGCTTTGACTCCGGCGGAAGCACAATGAACCGCGATACCGCAGATGTAGTAGGTGGTTCCGCTGCCGGTCAACGTCACTTTATCGTCGCCGGAGTTCAACGTCTTCCCCTTCGGGGTGCACGACTCGTAATCTGCCTTGCTCACTATCACCACGTTGTGCAACGTCGGGTCGTACTTAAACTCTGCATGCACGTAAACATATATCAACTCTCCGAGCAACGAGAATATAGAAATTTTTTTGGAAGATGCTAGGGTGCCACCACATGGGTGCTACCATGAGTGCACCCGTGGTGCCACCACATAAATTGAATTCTGCCAATTCCAATTCATTTTTTACACTATCAATTCCAAATTTACATAACTTTTGTGCTACCAAATACCAGAATTAGAATTTCTCAATTCCAATTTCATAATTTGAATTTCATGTACCAAACGGGGCATTTGTGTCCCTTAATAACATTCCATTTTTTTGTCTAAAAAAAGATTTTATTTTAATTTTTTTGGAAAAGTTTTTGTGAATATTTTTATGTTTATTTTCATTGCACCATTTCAAAAAAACACTTTCATGTTTCTTAATCTATGTCTTCGGTTACTTATAGATCCAAGATATCATTCCGGGTATTTGAATATCTAAAATCAGCGTTTCTTAATATTTGCTTCGCCCATATAACAACTTGTTACTCACTCTGTCCCAAAAAAATCATTTTTTTCGAGACGTTTCAAAAAGATTCACCTTTTCGCTTTTGAAAAGCTTTATGTGGCTTACCATTTTTCCATCTTCTGCGTCACAATTAACCAAACGAAATGAGGAATCCCATTTCGCCACGCATCGAGTATTATTAACAAGTCTATCATGTTTGAATGTTTTGGAATTTAGATCGTTTTGCATATATAATATGTTTATTTATTACTCAGTTCATGTGTAAACAGGTTACCCTTTCATTTAATTTGAGGAAACTTTTAAAAATGTCAAAAAACAGAAAGTGTATAATGAAAATGTGTTTAGAAGAAGAAGAGTATTGCTCCCGAGTAGAGCTAGCAAATTGGTCGGTTAGGTCGAGTTTGATCACTTTGGGTTTGGTTATTTCAGGTTCGAGTCAATTCAAGTTCGAATTGAGAACTATATGCTCATGACTCAGTGTCATCGAGTTTGGATCGACCAAATAGATTATGACTTTCGTTTTAAAATTTTTAAATTCACATTAACACTTGCATTTTGTATAAAATTATTTTAAAATAACAAAAACTATGTATTAAATCTATCAGATTATTTTATTTTAAATTTTCAAGTAATTCTTAGATATATAAATCAATATAAGGAATTAAAAAATCCATAAGTTTTAGAAAAAAAAGTAAGATAATTATGCAATATTATTAAAATTTTATCTTAAAATTATAATTTATACACAAAAAACGAGTAGTAAAGTATATGATTTTGAAAAGCTCTTACATTAGCGGGTCGGTCAGATCGTTTGCGTTCAGTTTAATTTGACCCATTTTTAGCGAGTCATTTCGGGTTTGATCATCGATTTTTTTTCAAAACCTAATGTTTTTGGATGGATTTCAAGTCAAAGAGTCATTGTTTGCCAGATATAGTCCCGAGTAGTGACACATATCACTTTCGGCTCAGAGTATTTTTCAAGTTAAAATTTTTCGAGTGAAACTGGCGGATAAATATTAATAATGAATTAAATAAAATTTATGTAGTACTTCATCCGTCCCATGAAGATATTCCTATTTTGACTTTGAGAAAACTTAAGGAAGATATTCCTATTTTGACTTTGAGAAAACTTAAGGAAGTTGATTTTGTGTTGACTTTCCAAAAATACCTTTGATCTAATGGGTGAAAGTATAATGTGATAAATATGTTTTTAGTAAAAAGGTATGATGTAATAGATATGTTAAGAATTGGTAGAAGTAAAAGTAATTTTTTAATTGAAAAAAGGAATTGAAAAAATGTTGTGGGACAAGAAAAAAAGAAATAAAAAAGAGTTTTTGGGACGGAAAAAATATATATATTGAATATTATTGTGAAAGCGATATCATAAGATTTAAATTACAGAAAACTATATAACCAATCCATTTCGATTTATCAATACGCAATGAAAATTAATGTAATTAATAATTTAAATTCACACTGTTAGAGGAATCATAGATTTAGATATAACTAGAGATGGAATTTAAAGAGGTCAACGTACCACACATTACACGAACATATATACTCCCTTCATCCTATCCTATAATGATCTTTCCCGGTTCATTTTACGAGGTTTGACCGACTTTATTTTCAATTCAATTTATTTGATTGTAGGCGTAAAATTTAAAAATAAAATTTATATATTTAAAAACTAAATCAAAAGTTTTACAAAACAAGTAGTGACAAGACTATATTATTTTATCAAATACCTAATGAAAATAGATAAAGAAAGTGATTAAAATTTGATCGGGTATAAAGTGAGTGGGAAGAACATTTTAGGATGGAAAGAGTATAATATATATGTATACGTATATAGATCTTTCGGTATTTTCCAAACATTGGAGAATACTATATATAGCTGATCAATCATAAGAAAACAAAAAGTATGTCACTTATTCAAATATATGTATATATAGGGAAACAGAGGTTTTGGTTCAAATGATCGATCAGGCGGCGAAGATAGAGATCTTCATCCCAGCCTTGCAATGGCCTGCGAAGCTGCAAATGAAGTAATGCTGTCCCTTGGTAAGGGTGACCCTGTCCGACCCAGAAGCATACACCTTAGCCTTGGCCGGCGGCGTGCCACACTTGTCGTAGGTTGCCTTGTCCACCTCCACCACGTTGTGGAACCCCGGACTGTACTTAAACACTGCACCCACAATCAAATTTTTAACACAACCTAAAATGTAAAAGGTAAAACTTTCTGGGAATTCGCACTGTAACTACTACACTACCACCGTCACACAGTCATCTGTCACTGCTGTCACTGCCGGCTACCAGAGTACCGCCTCCAGAATCACCGACTGTTGACTGATCATACTGATATACTACCTCCGTTTCTCAAAAGAGTTCCTCTTTTGACTTTGGGGAAAATAAGGAAGTGTTAAATTGTAGTTGACTTTGGGGAAAATAAGTAAGATGTGATAGTTTAGTTGTTAGTGAAAAAGTATGATGTGATAGGTAGGCTATGAAAAAGTAGGGGTAAAAGTGGTTTTTAATAGAAAGGGGAAGTGTTTTAAGAAAAACAAAAAAATGAAAGAGGAAGGATTTTAAGAAACGGAGGGAGTATTACATTGTTATTACATGTCTCTTTTGGTTTTAAAAGACTTAAGACTCCTGTTTTGATACTTTCTTACTTCTATTTAGATAGATTTTTGATGTAATACCATTAGAATCACAAAATATATAAATAAATTGCGTATATGTATGTATGTATGTATGGATACGTACAGAGTGTGTCCCCTGCTCTAAAGGTCTTTCCATTTGCGAGTGGGTTTATGACTTTGGGGCTGAAGCTCCAGTCGATGGAGTACACGGCGGCGGCAGCTTGGACCGCCGTGTTCTCGGAGCTAATTATGAGAAGCAGAAGGCATAGAACTGCCGCTGCTGCACTGCCTCTTCCCTGTTGATCGCCATCGCGTCGGTACATTCCGACGGCCGCCGCTGCTGATGCCATATATAATTAATGTGTAGTGTTGCGTTGTTGCGCGTCCACTTATTAGTTACTGCTTACCTATTTCCTCCTCATATTTATACACTAATATAAACTTGCACGTACTCTTACACCACACTGTTAGATTCATATTTTGGTCTTAAAAAATTTAGTATTTTAATTTTGATATTTTGATATTTTGATATTTTTTTATTCCTAACTAGGGGGATGTTTTATTTTTAATACTTTCTCCGTTTCAAAATGAATGTCACTATCATTATTACAATATTTTTTTGATTATTTGTTTGTATATTTTCATTAATCATTTGATAAAATAAATTAATATTGCTATCTTTTTATACACTTTTTCATATATTTTTGAACAGTATAATTTAAACTTTTGATTTCTTTATCAATTTATAATAAAATAATTTTAAAAATAATGAAATTTCACACGTTATTTAGAGTATGATATTTATTATGAGACGGATGAAGTACTTTTAATGCACATGCTTAATTTAACAAAATCGTAAAAAAAATTCTTGATATGTAGTTAGAATTTGTTTAGCAACAGAAGGATTGTTGGTAGTCATATACTCCCTTCGTCCTGCAAAAATATTTCCATTTTGAATATTATTTAGTTAAATATTTACATGTTTTGACTACAAATTATGAAAAAGGTATATTAAATTATAAAATAAATTTAATATAATTGGATTCATCTTAGAATCTAGTTTTGATATCTCAATTTTTTTAGCATTTCTTTATTTAGATTATATTTAATTTACAATTAAAGCGTGTAACTGTTTGACCAAAAAAACATCTAAATGAGAATTTTTTGTGGGACGGAGGGAGAACTATTCATTAATTACTAGGAAAGTATGCAGAATTTGATACGATAGAAAGAGTATGAGAGTGTATACTAAAGACTTAGAGTCTGTTCTTTAGGGCTTGAACTCTTAACTTCCAGTTCCTTCCAGTTTCTTCCCGTTTCGTCTAGTTTCTTCCTGTTCTTCCAGTTCCTTCCCATTTCTTCCAGTTTTTTCCAACTATTCTCATTTTATTCAAATTCTTTCTACTCCCCAACCAATTAATCTAAAAACGATATATTTTTAATGTGATTATTATTATTATTATTACTATTATTACTATTATTATTATTATAACTGCTATGTTCATAACTATAGTTTATAACTAATAATAATAACTAATTAGTAATAAGTAAACTTTAACATTTCTTCGGTCTAATAAAATCTTTTAGAGACAAAAAAAGGTTCAACAAAAAATGTGTAATTTTGATATTATTTTTTAATTATGCTCATATATCCCTATACATAATGTTATAGTTTATTATAAAATAAGAGTAAATTTTGATAACAGTATCAGCATTATACAATTTAAGAAGGACTTTTTTCTCTTCCTTAAAAAAATTTATGAGACGGAGGAAGTAAGATCGACATAGTCATACTCTTTCAAGAAACAAATAATAACTACTCAAAACTTTTTAGTTTCTTTACTTTTACTTGGATACTAGCAAGTAATTGGTGATCATTGTGCAGTTGGTAAAGGAATGGAGTACCAAAAGGGTAAGACTCGTGTTCGAAACTTGAAAACTGCACTGTGAGTGAACTATGTTAACTATGTGTCTGCTAGTACTGGATAAATGTTTCACTTTTACCAGCAATCTACGATCAAAATCTAATTTATTTTTTTCCCCAATAAACATTGGATCCGGTTTGTGGTACCTCGGCCATAGGCCCATCCCTTTTCGGATAGTAAGAAGTAGCAACACAACACATGGGTAGGAAGGAACGGGACCCATGGCCCATTGGCCCATGCACGAGAAACAGTACTCCTTAGTACGTACAGTGTTTTAATTGATGACCGAGTAATAATCTGATGCATGCTGCAGTCCCCTTAATTAGTCAACGCCACCCATTTGTTAGGTGTGGTATTTAATCCTTTGTCCACATTGACTGACCTACAGAACTGTTTTTTTTTTCACCAATAAAATGATTATAAATTTCATAAATTTACTATTATAAATTTTAATTAAAATAAAATTGTTTGAACAATTTTAAAATAAGAATTTAAATTATAATTGATAAGTTTATATAGAATTAACTCTAAATACGACTAAAACATAGATAAAAATACTAAAATAGGATTTTTATGTTTTTTTCTGAAATGAGACTTTGCATTGTGATTATGTGGCACTAAACATGTGCACATTACTATACTTTTTTGGTAATGTACATGACCATGTTTGGTAATGTAAGTGCTATTTCGAGAATAAAAATATGTAAGTCCTATTTTAGTATATTTTCAAAGTTTAGTCATACTTTGATCTTTCTCTCAATTTTATAAACTTTATGACCATTTTATTTTAGACCCTAACTTTACTCAATTTCCAAAGAGCTGATACATACCCCTATAAAAAAATGATTTCTACCCTAAATTGTAAACCTAAGATAAATAGAAGAGCAATGCTAGGAGTACACCAAAAGATGTACCCCAAATGTACACCACCCCCTTCTCCACCACACATTTTTATTTGATTTTTATTTACTTATTTTTTTTTATTTTTTTTTAATTTTTTTTTACCTTTTTTAGTGAACAAGGAGGGACTGAGGAACATATGGGGTACACCTTTGGTGTGCCCTAGCATTTTTCTAAATAGAAACATGGAGTGTTTGGGTTTGTATTGTCTTTGGGTATCTCTTACGTGACCCATATTCATACTCCTATTATAATTATAATTATGCTTTGGTTTTAAAAAAATGTGGAATCAATTTATGTACAAATTAAAGACTTAACTTGCTATATACTCCATCCGTTCCTTTAAACCTTTCTTATTTTGATTTTAGGTCATAATAAGAAAAGTGTAATTTTGGTTGACTTTTCAAATTTGTCCATGATGTGACGGGTAAGAGTAAAATGTGATGATTTGGTTATTAGTGAAAAAGTATGAAGTGATAGGTAGGGTATGAAAAGGCAAGGGTAAAAGTGTGTTTTTAATAGAAAGTGAAAATGTTTAAAGGAATTGAAAAAAAATGAAAGGGAAAGAATTTTATGGAACGGAGGGAGTATGATACTACATTTTAATAGAGACAACAATACTAAATAAATATCTAATTTCATACAGTATTAACTATATTTAAATTATTAAATTAAAGTATAAAATTGAGGCCATTTAGTCTAGCTAGCTAGTAAAGAGTAAACATATTCAATCTAAATTTCAAGTGATTTTACTTTTAATTATAGCATGAAGACTATTCTTTTTTGTTGAAAAAATTAATTTCCAATATTTTCCAATTTCTTTCAACTTTTTGAATTTCTTTACAAGTTTTTTCTAACATCTAACTCTGAAATTCTAATTCAAAAAAGAAATTATCGATATTATATTAAGGGTCTGTTTGGGAATAGCGTTAGAGATTAGCATTAGCGTTTTGAAAAGGCTATCTACGGCTAACGTTTAGAATTAGCGTTTTCAAAATAATCTGTAACGTTAAAATTTTGTCCAAAATGCTGACGTTAATCTCTAACGCTATTTTCAAAGAGACTCTAAATCCGGCGGGATGGAGTAAGAGAAAACGCTATTATTGAATGGAACAGAAGCATTCAAGATCGTCATTAATAACCAACTACCATACATTGTGATGAAATTTGATGGAGGTTATGGGCATGCGTTGAAATATATATACCGACTATTTATTATGGGTCTGTTTGGGAATAGCGTTAGAGATTAGCGTTAGCGTTTTGGATAAAATTTTAACAGTGCAGATTACTTTGAAAACGCTAACGCTAAACGCTGCCCGTAGATAGCCTTTTCAAAACGCTAACGCTAATCGCTAACGCTATTCCCAAACAGGCCCTATATGTGTGTGTGTAAAAGAGGAGAATGAACTTTTTTTAATACTGTGATAAAATTAAAAGTGCCAAATGCACTACGGCCTTGTTTGGGAATCACGTTTTTTATCAGCGTTAGCGTTTTAGATAAAATTTTAACGGTGTAGATTACTTTGAAAATGCTAACGCTAAACGCTGGCCGTAGATAGCCTGTTCAAAACGTTAACGCTAATCTCTAACTCTATTTCCAAACAGGCCCTACATTTATGATATGGATGCTCAAAATGTGTCGGAAAAAAATTTGTGAAGTGCACATTGTGTATGTGTTGGGTTCCTTTCTTAAGTGGAAAGATTCTTGAAAATTTTAAAACTGAGAAGTCAAAAAAATCTATAATAATTCGAAGAATTCTAGAGAAGTGTTGAGCTCTCTTGAAGCTTATGAGAGTGGAAACATGTGAAATATTCTAGAGAAATGTGTGAAGCCTTCTAGAAACATATGAAAATTTATGCGGAGTATAAGAAAATGGTAGTGTATGAATATCAGAAATTTCTAAAGATATGAAAGTTTCTAGAATCTTAATCTACGTATTTAAGAGTAACATAAATAGGAGAGTCCTTCACTTCCAACCATCAAAAGTGAAGAAAGCAATCTACTACTAAATTGAGAATTTTTATGTAAAAATATAAATTTTCTCGTGTATTATTATTATTATTGTGAGATACCTATCCTTTACTATAATATTTGAGACTCGTCGCACAGAATTTTGACATGTGGTGGGTCTACTTGGCATTTTTTAAACAAGTCATCTGCCACGTATTTAAAAACCGGACCGGACCAAACCAGTCGATTTGGATCGTGAACCAATTTGAACCGATAAGAATCGGCTTTTTTTCTTGCGATTTTTTTCCAAAACATGCATTTGTGGGGTTTGAACCCAAAACCTCCTAGACATTTGATTGAGTTTCTAGCCATCCAAGAAAGGATGATTTTTGTTACAAGTTCACATAACCCTTTATAATATTTCATAATTAAAAAAAGATTGTATAAAAATTCCTTTTCAATTTTAAAAATATAAGCTTTATATATAAAATTTGAGGGTTGGACTTCTAGAATTGTGACATGTGGCGCATTTATTAGACAATTTTTTTAACATGTCAGAATTCCAAGTCATCAAGTTATATTTAAAGAATTAGTTAACAAAAAAACT